TTAGTTTAACTATTTTTAAAAATATAAATTAATAGAAAAAATTTCTGAATAAATTTTATTAATTTGATAAGCTATTATGTTTAGAGCATATAGGTTGCCATCAATAGAAATTAAGTTAATGCTTTAATTTTTACTGCTAATATCTCATTGAATTTTAAAGCTAATCTTATAAATGAATAGGTAAATAAAATCTTAAAATCTAAACTTTCTTTTGACTATTAAATCATGAGAACAACATTAAAATTCATCGAGATATGAGAAAGATATTGGTTTTTTTAAAAAAAATGTCAATCTGCTTGATTTCTATTGACGGCAGCCCATATATGTTTGATTATGGATAATTAAATTATTTTAAAGTATACTTATACTTGCTGGCAAAACCCGGACAAATTCCAAACCCCTCAAAACAAATTGCTTTTATAAAAAATCAAATCGACAAAATAATTTTGATATTTTATAAATAAATTATATATAGCTATAAGAATATATGTCAATTATTTGAATAAAGATTATTAATAAAGTTTTTGATATAATATATTAGTTTGGGCTTGGGTTTTGGATTTGGGCGCGAACAAAACCAAATTATAATAGTTTGGGTTTGGCCGGCAAGTATAAGTATACTAACTGTTTTTAAAAATATAAATAATAAAAAAAGCCTACACAAATTTAATTTTTGATTTTTATAACATGATTATTAAAAACATATAACTTTTTTTTTTCTTTACAAGTTTTTAAATTTTGACCTGACCGGGTTATGAAAATCAATTAATTATTTTTTTTATATCCATTAAAAACAACGTAGTTGAAAGTATCTTATATTATTAGTATATAATATACCTAAATAACAACTATTATAAAGCTACAAGAATATATCAAAAAAAAAAAATTCTAACTTCAATTATAATTATTTTTTTTTTAAAAAAAACTATATAGTTTGAGCTTTCAAGTGACTTTAGAAATTGAATCAAAACAATTATCATATGTATAAAGATAAGCATTTTTTTAAAGTGATTAAAACAAAAAAACTTTTTTGTAATAAATTTTTTTTTATTAAAATTAATTGCGATGTATGTAAATGTAGTATTGGTATACCGTAAATATTGTAAATATAATATAACTAATAGTACACCAATTTATTTAAAATAGTTAAATGGATAACGATAATAATAGAATAATAGTGTTTAACCTAAAGAGCCATACACTAAATACGTATAATTTTTCAAGAAGCATAAAATACGTAACCATATGTTATAATAATTGAATTTGATTGAAAAAAAAATTTTAATTAAATTTTGTTGTTATGCAATACAAGACATATGCACATAGATGATTATAATATGTACGTCTAAGGAAAATAAAAATGAATTTTTTATATCCGTAAAGTATATATTTATGCTATGTTTGTTGTTACAATATATGTAATCGCTAACTTTCGTTCGTTCGTACGTACGTATGTACTTACATTATTTAGGGGTGAGAGGTAAGCGTAAGAAGTTGGGTTGTACGTACATAACACAGGAAAAAGCGATTTTGTGTGGGCGCTAATAACTATAATAAATAATATTAGGTAATGGATATGACACTGCCTTTAATGATTAGGTTTATGATTAAATATGTATTTTTGTAAGGAAGTCGTCAACAAGTAAATATATATTATGTAATTTAATATTTAATATATTTTTTTAATACAAAAATATACAACGAATCAAAATTCAAATGTACAAAAAATCTTTTTAGCATGAATAGAATGAACAGTATTTTTTTTGTGGTAACGGTATAATTTCATCCCGAATATTCTTTTATTACTAATTATAACTTGCAATGATAAACATCCCCTGCTTAAATAGGAATTTCGAGTGGTCGATAATCCAGGGATTACTATTTAAAATACTGAAATAGTTGATACGAAATTGTACGTGGTGTGTAGTGAATAGTTGAAATAGGGTTCGGTGATCATTACTATCAGTTATGGTAAGAGAGGATCAAATAAAGGGTGATTGATAGACTAATTATCGTCATAAATTTAGATATACTATATTAATATATTATAGATATATTATCGTTATAGTAAATGGCTATTAACGTTAATGCTGTATATATTAAACGGGTTGCTTAAGCGATCCATAAGCATTTATAAGCATTTATTTTAAGGATGATGGTTAACATTAGACCGAATGGTACTGTAAGTAAATACGTAAGGGTGTATGTATGCATATACATACATACGAGAGTACGAAAAGTTAATACGTAGATAATAAAATTACACATTACTAAACCTTTCTAAATAAAAATCAGGGAACAGTAAAATAAAATAAAATAAGGTTAGTACTATCCAAATTCAGGAAAGTGTGGCATTCATATTTTCATTGCAATTAATGGGTGAGAAAAGTTTCTTTTGATTATTTTTTTAGGAATTATAAAATCAAAATTGTTCAAATTGTTGGAATGAAAGAAAATATTCATTTGTAGAAATATTCCTTTGTAACAATATTCCTTTGTAACAATATTTTACCAAGCCCACTACTTCGCTTGAATGTACAAAACCTTTTATTGTAAAAAACCATATCAATATTGAAATATGTAAATACATAAATTTATTACGTACTGTACGTATGTACGTACGGAGATACTATAAATATGTCTAAAAATAGGACTACGTAAAATCACTTAAGGAGGCTTAGCATACACAATAGATAAATGAGTAATTGTGTGGTGTTACTGTGATATCTTCATCTCATCGTTATCAGATCTTTTGTGTTTAGGAATATGGCGTCACACAATCTGAAAATGAATACGTATTTATTTACTTTACCCCATTATATGTCAAAAAATTACCTAATAAAGAAGCATTTAGGAATGATTATTAATCGTATGACAAAAGGTGACATATTTTTTTTCCTGCGAATAATAGTATAATTATTACAATCGGAAGTTTACTTTCCTGGATGAATTAATTCACGCTTCCGATTGAATGGCAAATTTGACATGTAAGACAAAAAGTATCCTAGAAAAACTTTAAAGAAATTCCATACTTCTATCTGTGTTTTGTATTTTGGGAATTCAATTCCGAACATCATGTGAGGATGGCGTTTTCTTGAAAGCAATATATCAAATGATTGTTGTGAGAATATACATATATTATGTTCGAATATCATACGACTTATTTTTTATCTAGGAGATTTCATCGAATGATTTATGATCTTCAGAAGAATGTAAAAAGATGGCTGAATTATGCATATAGTGCAATACTTACATGATTGGAATTTATTAATAGAGACGAGGTTAGAAAAGGATAGATTAAATATGCAATTGATCAGATCATCATACTAAGTCCACTGTTCAAGCAAGAAGTTCTTTTTTAATACTAATTCGGGGACAAATAATACTGTGTTCCAAATTCGGGAATTCATACTAGAATCGGAGAATTTCCTTCGAGTTTACCGGTAATATATATTCATTGATCCAATCATTCATAAAGTAAACCGGACTTTCTGCATTGAATGTACTAAAGCTGCAGTTAATTTTCTCCGAGGCTAATTTTTTACGCGTCACATCTATGCACATTAGGGAATTTCAAAAGATTGATACACATTAAGGAATTTTAAAGAATGACATTAAGAATGACATTAAGAATGAAATTAAGAATGACATTAAGGAATTTCAAAGATTGACACACATTAATGAATTTCAAAAGATTGACACACATTAATGAATTTCAAAGATTGATACACATTAATGAATTTCAAAGATTGATACACATTAATGAATGTCAAGGATTGATACACATAAATGAATTTCGGAGATTGACATTAATGAATTTCAGAGATTGACATTAATAAATTTCAAAGGTTGATACATAGTATCAAATCTCAATGACTACCATTTAGGGTCTAACCCATGTTTCGTTTTTCGGTATACACTTGTTATGAGTGTCACCAAGAGAAACGTAATTAGACATGAAATTTAATATGTCTGATTACAGGTTTTTTCTCTTGGCGATGTCCGCATATATATACCGATGTCTGTATATATGTGAATGAATGCTGCGCCATGGAAAAAACGGAACTATGAAAATTTGGGTTTCATTCAACCCCCTGAAAACCTGCTTTATTCATTTATACATTTATTCAACATCCCCTGAAAACCTGATAAGAGATAGGGATAGATTTAATTGTCACTTTCGGGTATTCTTCAGGTTGAATTTGATAAAGTCTTGGCTGCATATATATTTATCTCTAATACTAATAACGATAACGATAACGATAATGCTTAACACTGTAATGCAAAAAACCAAATTTATAATTAAAATTAATAACAGGTAATATAAATAAATATATAATAATATCGAATAACAAAAATATGCATTTATCTAGCATAAAGGTTTTATTTATTTATTTATTTATTTATTTCATATCTTAAAGTCTTATTCTAAAAGAGAAAAAAAAAAGAACATAACAATGGTTGTGTGATTTTTGATTTCTGTTACCATACGTAAATGATCGTTACATGATAAAAATCTATTTTTTTTTCAAATAATAATAATAATAAGTATATAGAGTAATAATAATAATGATAAAAATCGAATGAATGAAATCGAGAAAATAAAAAAATAAAACTACGAAAAGAATGATTCCATACGCATGTATATCTCTATTATATATTCTTAATTCCGTTATGCCAGTTTTTTTTTTTTAAAAAAAAAAATTTGATTTTGTTATTGTTTATATTGATTTATATACATGATTTTAATCCAGAAAATGAGTGAATAATTCTTTGATCAAAATATCTTTGCCTATCTATTTACACATAATATTTAATGCCAGTTTTTTCTATCTAATGTTGTTCGAGACGAAGAATCGGAAAAATAAAAATAAAAATTCTAAAGTGGGGGTTAATTTCTGTTTCGTTAAAAAAAAAAAATTATAATTCTAAAAAATGCAAATAAATAATATAAATTTCTGAGAATAATATATAATAATAATAATGATGATACTATTCGTCTAGTTTATGTTGAATAAATGATACGATGTTCCATTAAAAAAATGTTCCCCTTCTATCTATTAATTGTTCAGTGCATTTTTATTATATTACTAAATATTCTCAATTAATATCTCAACGAGATCGAGATTTTAATATCGATAATTATAATATTATTTTTTTTTTCTATATTGTGTTTTGGGACAGAAGGGGTTATCCGCCTTGAGGTTACTGTATATTATTGTAAAATTTCTTTACTATTAAATGTTCACGTATATTATTATACAAGAAATTTTCTTAACGCAAGATCCGAAGTATCGATGATGAGATCTGCGGTTGCTTAACTTATATGCAAGACTAATGAAATAGTTTTTCATATAATATTTGTCATGTTTCCTTTTGTTTCATTTTTTTGTTTTCATTTCAACCATTTTATAAACCATTTTATAAACATAATCGTCCTTTAACTATATCGTTTTGTGATTCATACATATCGTTTTGTACTGAAAATAATTGTTGTTGTCGATTTTGTTGTTGAGGATAGAATAAAGATGGTTGATTCCTTCGAATTTCAACAGCAACATCAGATAATATTCCATCGCAATTAATATCAAAATCAGTTGGTGATCTTCTAAAATTTAACATAAAATTTTCTCGTAACCAAGGAACATCTCTCATAAATTTACGAACGAATGCATAAATTTTATGAAGAAAAGTATCCATTGGATCTATATCGATACTGCTTCGATTACTATTACCACTATGTCGATCGTCATCGTCATATGGATTTAAATCATTATAAGGTTTAAAATCCCCTGTTTGTTGATCGAAATTATTACCAGATGTATATTCTGGTCGTTCAATTTCAACATCGAATTGTTGTTGTGCAACACAAGAAAATTGTCCTTGTTGTTCATATTCAATTATTCGTAATTTTAATCTTTCATCAGGATCTAAAACGTATGTTTGATCTGCTTCTCCTCTCCATTCTTGACTTAATGCTAAAACTTTTTCATAAATCCAGAATTGTAATTGAGATACTGATACGAATCCATTTGGTGGTATAATAGGTCCTGCTCCTTTTGTTACGCTTTGAAGAATGGGAATAAGTGCAGGATCTATCTCCATAAATTGCATTAAACCATTCACATTGTAGTTCAATGTGATGATACCACGCATATTTGGAACATAATTATCTATCGAAACTATAAAAAAAAATAAAAAATAAAAATAATTATTCTATGTTCAAAATGATGTCAAAAGTATTGACATAAATAATGTTTAGAATACAAACCTGGAGAAGCAGGTTGCAAAAAAGATGTAAGGGTTGTTTGATTAATAAGAGGGGACGATTGAGTGGAAATTTGTTGACGTTGCTGCGGTACCATATAAGATTGTTGTACCAAATTTTGCGAAGTAGCGATTGGATTTTGTAATTGAGTTAGGTGGGGAGTTTGAAATCGTGCAGGAACGTAAGAAGCAACGGGGCCAAAAGTCATAGGTACAGTAGAATTATCGACATTTAGACTGAGGATAGAGTCGTTAAGAAAAGAACCATTCGTAGATGCTAAGTCATATTCGTTCTATTATAAAAAAAAAGTTGATTAAATTAAAGGTAAGTGAATAATGTTTTTAACTTTAATAATTAATAATAATAAGTTTTGTTTGTTTTTTTACCTTTACGATAGTAGGTAATTTTACTTCAGAATTCATTCTTTGATTTTGGATCCATTGTTGCTGTCGTATAGCTTTGATCGCTTCATCCTCTGGAATGTTTGTTAACGCTTCTTCCGGAGGTGAGTAAGATGTATAATAGCAACGATGTTTAGACTTCAAACAGGCCGCGCATGATGGGGTTTTTCTATCGCATTTGACTTTGCGTTTCTTGCATGAAACGCAAGAACGGTTTGGATGACCCAAATTATTAGACATGGACATCGGTGAAGATGGAGGCGTACAGTAAAGAAGAGTTGGTTTTGGATGATGATTCATTAACAATTGTTCAGAGAATTGCGAATCTTGATATTGTTGAGAGAAAATCATTTTTTTTCTTCAATTAGAATTTTTTTTTTTTTCGACTTGACACTTTTTTTTTGACTTGCTTGTTAGGCGGGCGTTTTTGCACTAAATTTATAGAAAAATGTTGGATCTACAATATTTGTGTTAAAGTGATAATAGAGTGATAATAGAGTGATAATAGAGTGATGTGATGAGGTATATTTAATAAAGATCTGTAATATATATGGTAAAGTAAAAAAAAAAATTTTTTTATATATACAGTATTATACGTTATAATATAATTTATATTATTTTAATTTTAATCTTTTTTTTTTTAAAGTTGGCTTAAAATAAATAGTATTCAATATTACCCACCTATTACCTATTCGATGTTTTTATAAAAAAAAAAAAATTCTTTCGTGCGAAAAATTTAATCCTTTGTTTGATTAAACTGGAAATAAAATACGCATAATTCGCTGCGCCACAAGTAACATATCGAAAGAAGCTTTTCAGAATGACATATGTACAGTATGTGATTATTTTATTATTTTGATTACTTGAATTACTTTTGATAAACACCCCTACTTGACTGCATATGTACTTTATAACTATGTATTTACAACATGTATTTCGACACTAAATTTAAATTGGATGATTTTAATTTTTCGGATTTTTAATTCAAAATTTCCTCATTAAGAGAGTATATATGTCGCATGGAAATAATAGTATCCAATTAATCTGCAATTTTGCGAATTATATTGTGTGTTGAAAAAAATTAAACTCTATTAATTCTATAAATTAATTCTATAAGTTAATTCTATTTAATAATTCTATAAATTAGTTCTATCTAATAATTTTTCAAACATCAAATAAAACAATAAATCAAACATTAAATCAAAACATTTAATTTTAACTATTAGTTCTAAATATTAATTATTCTAAGTAGTAAATTTTAAGTTCTTGAACCAAAAACATTCTAACCATTAAAATTCATATAATTCATATTTTTATAAATTGTTGTCATATGATATTCATAATAAATGATACGATGCGTAACGTCACGTTTTATTGTTTTTTTTGTTTTTTAGAAAACTTCTTTGTTCATGTTCTTTCTGTCATGAAAATTAATATTTATATTATTTGTTTTCATAATATGAAACATCTCAAGAGCATGCAAATAAAATTTACTTATACGTATTTAAACGTATGATATCATGGTTTTTAAATGATGATGAGGGTTTGTATTTTTATTTAAATACATGTACACAACATTTAAAGCCTTGAAATATATTGTAGTATCTTCAAAGATTTTCGTTATAATGTTTTTTTTGGTATTGTATTCCTTAAATTTCATGTATCAATTCGGGCCAAACCGACGAGTTTGATTTTTAATTTTCTTGGATTTTTTTTTATGCAGTAATGTTGAAGGAAATGACTACTTTTGGATCTTTTAATAATTTCAACATACAGTATATCGATTCATATCAATTCATTTCAATTCATATCAATTCATATTTTATTTTTATTTTTTTTTACCGATTGTACCTAAGACACATGATCCTTATCTTTTACAAAAGGAGTTTCCATCTCCCATGATAGCATATACAACGTATACAGGAGAAGCAAAATATAGCATATATGGTAAGATGTAACATATATGGCATATATAACGCATATATGGTAATATTTAGCATAGATAATACATCTAATGTAGCATATATACAACATTAAATTTTTATTAATTACATTCCATTTTTACATGTTGACGAAATAAAAAAGGGTAAAAGGGTAAATACGTAGTTAGTAAACGTATCATATAATGTGTATGTATGCCAGATCTTATTTTATTGGTTATATGCATACGTAGATTATCATAAAAATTCGAATATAGAAATTTTGCCTAATAAGAATTGAAATATTTACAAATTTTTTTTTCTAGTAATAATAAAAAGGGAAAAATATGAAATAGATAAGATCTTATGACGTTTTTTTTTTTTAAAAAATAAAGAACTTATAATTATAGAAACAAAATAAGTAATTTTGATTTTATATCATGAATGAGTTAAAAAATCTATCTTCAAAAAAACCATCTTAATCAATTACACATTTGTTAAGATATATAAGTACTGTACTTAAATTACTGAATTAACCTGGTAATAACAGATTATCAAATGATATCTAAAAAATCGTATCGGTATCGGTATATATTTTTTTAAACAAACAAATATACATGACATGCAAAGTACACACAATTTTTAATCCGAAAACAAAGACTATGACGTTATATGATTAACCTAAAATCTGATTGGTTTAATTATCATAATAATTCATTTAAAAGGCATACATTTTAGTATGACATGATTAATAGTAATTATATTTCCTTGTTCTTTTTTTGACCAATCAAAATCATTCATGCGTATATTACCACATGGGAGTCTGTGTAACAAATCGTGTAACGAGTGTAACGGATGGAACAGAAGAATGTTTACACAAAAACATTCTTAATATAAAATTCCAAAGACCAAAGTAAAGAGTTCTTTTTAAAAAAATTACGTAAAAAAAAATTGAACAATTTTTAATCGAAAATTTTAAAACAAAGAAGAAAAATGTAAAAAAGTGGGGAAAAAAGTAAAATAAAAGTAGTACAGAAAATCGGTGAAGCCCAACGTGATGTCGTGATGTCAAGAAAAAAACATATTTTTAGGAATCATTTGCTTTTATTGGGGAAGGCTTTGTGGTCATCCTTGAGCGGCTTGAGTGGTTCTCAATGGAGAATTAAAAATTCAAAAACCGCCATAGACCAGAACAAGACAGATTTAAATAGAAAAGTAATTCCGGTTAACATCACTTGCTTAATTTTGCTTAACTTACTATGGTCGCCCAATGGTAAATTGAGGATCAACATGTTTGTATTAAAAAAAAGACGTTAACAAAGAAAATGGCGTTTAAATGTTTACGCACATGAGATCACACGACTAGGAAATCGAATCAGAATGAAATCTGACTAATTGTAGAACATTTTTTTCTTTTAAAAAGTAAGGGATGTGGCTGCATATCGTCCGAACAAAAACAAACAATTGAAAATTCTATTCTTTTGGAATGGTATTATATACACAAATAACGTAAAAATAACAATGTTTTTCTTTTTTTCACAGACCTACATATGGCATTATGACAATTTATACTTTCGGAACCGGATAAATTCGATTCTTAACAGAGACGTTCGGGATCTTCTATTGAAAGATTAGGGTAGAATACAGTTTTAGAAAACAACGAATAAGTAACGATTATTAATATATTAATACATATTAATAATTATTGTTATTTAACATGAGACTTTGGATGTAATGTTACAATTAATTTACACATGATTTCATGGTTTCTGAAGGAAGGTGGTTTGCGGTACCATCGTAAAACCGTAAAATTTATATATAAAAAAATTGAAATTCAAAAATATCAAAAAATATCAAAAAATAACAAAAACATTAAAAATATTTAAAAATGGATTTTCTTTTTAAAAAAAAAAAGATATAAAAATGGATATAAAAGAAGATGGAATTCCATTGAAAATTCATTCATGGTTGTTAGTGTATAATAACGATAATATAATGATGATGATGACAAATGATCAACTGCGGCTGTGTAGATTAATCGTCGATTATTATTGTGGCTGACTAATTTTCCTCAGGTGCTCACGAGTTTGATACGTACAAAAACCGTTACAAATCAATTAATGGTAATTAGTGACTCTTTATATAATTATATATATATATACATAGATATACGTTCAATAAATAAATTCAATAAATAAATTCAATACGTACGTCATTGAATTTATTTATAATAAATATATGAACATATATATCAATATAATTAATGATAATTAATGATTTTTTTGTGGTACGTACCATCATCCCTATTTTGATACCTATTTCGATTGTACATACTATTCGTTGAATGAAACATATGCAATCGCATCAGTGATCAGATAAGATGTTTTTTTGATATAGATTAAATAACATGATATGTTACACTGAATGCTAAAATGTCAGTGACATTAAAGTGTTGGTAACATTAAAGTGTTAGTAACACAAATTAATATATCATTGCATGATGTTCAATAACCAATATCCAATGTTCAGTGTTCAATACCAATATATAAATATCGACATTATCGTATGTATTTCTCCGTGAAATAAACATTCTGTATAAACATTCTGTCATAAAACACAAAGAAATATAAACTCATGATCATAATGTTAGATCATAGTGTTATATAATGTTATAATGAACAAATATTTTGCGCTTATACGTAAATAAATTGTGAAAGATAATTGTATTAACAAAGATTTGTTCTTTTACAAATTAAAAACATTTATATTAAACTTTGCTGGAATAATTATTCCTGAAAAAACGTGTGGTAACGTCAGGATTTAATGCGCTGCTGGTCTGCTTCACCATGCTGTTTTGTTTTGCATTGTTTTTTTCAAGATAATCTTTAAAGGGTCTCATAAAAAATATCTTATTATATCTTATTGCATTAAATTTATTTGGAAATATTTATTTTGAATAGTCATAGGACCATGTCTTATCAAGTGCATTAGATAACTATAATGTGTTCATGTAAATGAAACATATCACATGTGCTTAACTTTCAAAATAATACTGTAAAGATAATTCGTTTTTTTGTCTGAATAACCAATACCTTGATGACTAGAATGCACACTGATATGCATATGTATCGTATCTATCTCAAAACTTATATCTTAAAAGGTATCTCAAAACTTATATCTTAAAAGGTATCTCAAAACTTATATCTTAAAAGGTATCTCAAAACTTGGTTATCAGTAAATTTTATCCACGTATCTTTCATCTATTATCTGATTACTAATAAAAATATTGGTCTAAACTTTATTATAAATAATATCACATGTTCTCTTTAGGCTCTACCATTCAAAAAATTCCCCATTATAATTCATATCATTCTGGAAACAATAACTATCTATCCTTTTTGCGTTAAATAAAAAACCTTTTTAAAGAAACAAAGGCAAAATAATTTATTGTTTCGGCTTTAACACTCCTATATCACCATAGCATATGCTTAAAACTTTGATCCTGACTGATAACTTTTTCTTTTGTCATTACATTATTGATACTTCTTGCATTATTAATACATTCTAATTTATTCTAATTTATTCTAATATATTCAATATATTCGAGATATAACAATCATGCCATAATCAATAATCACCCATGTGACTTCTTCATGTGATATTATTATTCACTTGTTTTCTTTATTGGGTGAATGTGTAGATTGGCGCATATTTGATCACATGCATACTTTCAAAGTTTTAATATATACGCCATTTGGTATATACAATATTATATAATGTGATATAATCGAATTATCGAATTATATAAATTATATATAATAAATAAATAAATTCATTTTAAGTAATTCAAAATTTTGGGGCGCTCATCAAAATTAGTCTAATACATATTTCTAAAGAAGGTACCTATACGTAATGCTTACACAATTAGAATTTTTTATTTGCAAAGCCTATCATAAGAACAAAAAAAGGTACGTAGTATAGAGTCAAATTTCTCAAACCACCTTTCGCATTAAATGTCTCCTATTATCTCCTATTCTTCCTATTATTCGTGGGTATTTTAACTTGACATTAATCCAAACTTGTCGATGAAAATTACCCTTACAATACTGATACCCGATATTGAATTTCCCAATACTATTCATACTCATACTACGTATGTACTGTACATACAATATTACAAAGATCTACAAACTATGTTATGCACGCAGTTACCTTTTGAAATTTTGACACAATATGAGTCAAGTATCGTTGAGTAAAAATTGTCATTGTTACCCCAATAAAAAATATCTGCTACGTCTAATCGTCGAATGAAAATTCTAGGCTTAATCATGTCGAGCAGTTCAAAAAGCCCACCGACTAAGTGATAACTGTTCCTAATGAAGGAATAACCATATGTAATATACGTAAATACGGTTTATTAAAACATATTATCGGTTGATCTTGACAGGTTTTCAAATAAACAAACAGATAAAGACAAAAAAAAACAAAACAAATAAAAGTACATATTATAGATTAATAATCCAATACTTATGTATATATATGCAATTGCGTTTGATATCTTCTTTATACATATTTGTTTTGGCATATTTTCTTTAGTAAATTTCTTCAAATATTTCCTTTGACCTTTCTTTTAGACATTTTCACGGTATGTTTTGTACACCTATTTTAATTCAAAGCAAATTTTCCGGTTAACTAATATTTTTAATATTTCTTTAAATAGATAAATATGTTAAATTGTTAACGTTAAAAAAAATCAACTGACTATTAGTAATATTGTTAACTGCTGACATCTTAATATATAAATAATATAACGTAATACTTTTCCTCCTGAATTTATTACATAATAACCATTCCAAAACTGCATTAGGATTGTCAACTTTAATTGTTAGGGAAATTTTGAGTTGATCAATAATGTTACGTATATTAACTTTAGAAATACCTTTCATTATTCACTCTTATTTACTCATTGTTTACACATATTCACCTTTTTTATTTAATCATTTTTGTAGGTATATTTCTTTCTAAATGTACGTATTACTTTTCTAAAAAGATAATTATATACATATTAAAAATACTCAATTTATTACGTATTAAATTTTATGACTCTTACATATCGGGGTGCCTTATTTATCAGGTTCGACCCCTGAAAAATCAGATCAGCGGCATATGCGATAGAGATGGTAATATATGCGATAGAGATAGTAATATACAGTACGTAATAGAGATAATGATTACGTATAACGATAACGATAAATACATGTCACCAAATCAGTAATAAATGAAATAAATGATAAATTTAAAAGTCCCAAAGCATCATTTTTTCTTGGCAATATGAAATAGTATGTCGCCATCATACTGAATCTGGTAAATAATGAATAATATACTTGAGAGTCCGATGTATCATTTTGCATAAATGTTGCTTTTCAAAAATGGTATAAATGTTTATTTGAATGATTTGAAAAAATCAATGTAGTTTATTACTTTTACGTATACTATAACCAAGATAAAAAGATTGTATTTTTTCTTTAAATTATTATTATTATAGGTGTAATGTGATGTTTAAAGTTATTTGATCGTCTAATAAGTTCGGATAAAGCCAAAAGGGTAGATATTAAATCAACTTCTGGGATTTTTTAAAAAAAGTGACACTTATTTAAAAAAGGTATGCCTAGCTCAAGTGGTATTTCGATCCATTGAATTGATCCTTAAATTCCAATATTTAATTAGAGATTTTTACTTGAATTAGTTAAAAAACTTAAAATAACAAACCCATAAATGTGCTTAAAGTTAGTTTTATTTGATATAGATTAAACCGTCAGGTTTAGCATGCAAATTTGCATGTTAAAATTTTTAACAAAAAATTTAATTAAAAAAAAATTTTTAATAAATTTCTAATTTAATAGTTATAATGATCTTCAAAAACTCAAGTCACATGGCGCACTTCATAGTTATGATATCAAGAAGCACAAATTCATATGATAACTAAAAACTGTTATTTTATCTATACTTTAGAGTTATTAAAAAACTAATTATGTGAAGTTGATCATAAAGAACCCTTGATTAATTTTAATATTATATTATAAAAAGTACTTGTGTATCATTATTGTAAAAAATTTTTATAATTGTTATATACAAAATTTTTTTTAGTATTAAACCTGAATATTAAATCCTATTATAATTAAATATTAAAAAATTAATTTTTAATAAAATATAAAATAATTAGATAAAAATGTGTTAAAAAATATTTTAATATTTAAATTTATATGTTAGACAATTTAAAGAATAATCTAATTAGTTAAAGTTAAAATTAGAATATTAAATTTATATATATTCATATAAGCATGTTTATTTTTGGTTTATATTCTATTTTTTTTTTTTTTAAATATTAATGGTGAGGTTATGCCTTTAACTTTATTGAAATTCAATTGAAGTTTTTACAAAGAAAAGCTTGCTTTTAAATTACATAGAAAAAAGACTCAGACATATAATCTGTGACTAAACCTACAAAAGTAGCCAAGGCTTATCTAGATTTGGATTTAAGTAATAATATAGGAGAGGGAGGTATGGTATTTAATCTATTGAATAGTCCAAAGATCAATTTTAGTAATAATTTGTGGTAGTGAAATAGAAGATAGGGGTG